AAACACTGGTGCATCCCAGCTAACTGCCTGCACAATTGCCGGGGCTACGGTCCCTTGCAAATCTTCAACTATCAAGATAGTTGGCACATTGTTGTATGGTTGCGCCAGCGCTGCCACTATTCCGGCACACCACATGCGCGCCTCCCTGCAGATATATCTGCACCACTGCTGGAAGTGGTCGATAGACAAGAGGGTTTCTACACTGCAATGCTCGAGGACAGATCTGGTGGAGTCGTCAAAATTGATCAGACTATGTACCAGCAATGAGTCTTCGGTCGCATGCCATGGCCTCGTCTGCCAATATTCAACGAGGTAGCTTCTAACTTTATCGAATGCCTCTCTAGATGTGAGATCATGTCTCATATACCCTGGAATCAGCGGCGGACCTCCGCTCAAAGAAGAGATCTCAGCCGATCGAGTTTCCAAGGTTGTGGGATAGCTGCTCATCGCAGAAAGCTGCGCATCATGGACGTGCATGAATGAGACCCAATCTTCATGCAAAGTGGACACTACAAAGCGTATGAGTGTCCCTTCCAAAAAGGCAGGTTGCAGCGTCTCTGTCGAGAGTTCTGCTCCAACCCAACACAGACACCTATCTTCGAGGCATTCTTGAGTTAGCCCAGCCTGGTGTGCATGTTGGAATATATTTCCTCTCTGTCTATGGAAATCTGCAGCACATGTGGTGGAAACACCATTATCTATGCATCTCACCACTGGTACGGCTGTTTCGAACGGCATATACGCCGGGTCAGCGACGATCAACAAGGTTGGTTGGTCATTGGGTGGTGGTATGACCTGAAATATGGCAATATCGACTCGGTCGAAATCAGGCCACACTTCTCTAACCTTATAAGGGATCAGCTCTCCCCGACGGACTCGCACCTCTCTTATGCCCACGTGCCGGTGAAACAGCCCATACGATGGGAATACCTTATCCCCTTCAGTCGGACCATTCAACCTCTCCAAGAAAACTTCGTCATCGAAGTCCATTCTTTCGAAACGCATAACAGGTCCATCATCAACATCATGTCCTTGCAGGACAGGTCCCATGGGAGGAGTGTCACTCGTATTATCGAACGCAGAGCAGTTTCTAAGAGAGATTTGATGCAGCATTGCATTGTCCTCTTCCTCGAAAGTGTCTTGCCATTCCTGTGAAGCATTAGTACTCGAAAAATCAGTACCATTAGACTGTGCAGTACTAGAGCAGGACTGTTGTCTTACCTCCAAAAGACGCAGGTATAGTCCTTGCCTGACAGGGAAGACCTGTTCCCACATAAATTGTGTGGACCCTATCATAACTGAACAAGTAGCAGTCCATTCACACTCATTTTGTGGACATAATTGCCTGAACACATCACTAACTCCCATATTTCCTTGTGGTGTTTGCAAAAGGAACGTGCCGCGTTCTCGTCTAACAATGCCTTGCACTTCTGCCAATACTAAAACTCTCGGGACATTGGACGAGTCAGTAACCAAGAAAGTTGCTGTCGGGACGAACTCATTCACATGTGGCCACACAGGATATACAGAGATTCTATCGCGAATGCCCAGATGCCTCTTGATCCGTAGTTCCACACTCTGCCCCAGCCTAAATTCCAATGAATACTTCTCACTGCGAAAATCCCATGGAAAGGCCTTGCTGTGGAACCAAAAATCAAAGTTCATCCCTCGTTCGAGGGCAATTTGCGCCAGATAAGTTTGTAACTGGTCTGGATTTCGAATCGTTTGCATCAGAACACCGTGATCACCCTCCTCTGTATCCTGGGAGAGGCTCTCCGGGGTTGCAGTGTTTTCCCCACGATATGCTCCGAATTGCGAATATTGCATCCTCACCTGGTGTAGTTCGCTGTCAAATGTGAAGCTGCTGTCATAGTTGCCTTGACACTGCGCCGTTATATTTGGGGTTGCAGTGTTTTCCCCGTATTCTTCTCTTCCTCCAGATATTTGCTGCGCACAACTTGTCTCACTTGCCCATCTCCCGAATGTATGCTGTCGCGTTCCATTGCTACTCTCCTTCTCTAGGCACCGCTGCCATGTATACTTCGGGGTTGCAGTGTTTTCCCCTTCATCGTGATCTACACCATGTTGAAGAGGAAGTTGTAAGCAGCTCGTGTCATCGCTGCTAGATGAGCTCAGCTCAGAGGAGTTTGAAGAGTCCGGAACGAGTCGTCTGGCAACTTCTTCTGCTTGTATGTATGGATCATAGGCATTCAATTCCATGTGCGGTCCACAGTCAAGTTCTTGGATTTTCTGCCTTGACTGAAAAATCTTGATCACCGTCGCAGGAATCCATTCAACTTGAAATGACGGTTCCACCCAACGACCATCAACTTCGTAGGCACAGTCATCCCCAGCCCATGCAAGATAGCTCTGGCTGTCGAACTCAGCGACAAATTCGGACACCTGTTTGGCCTTCGTCACCAGAACAATCTGCGTCAGAGTGGAGAGGCCTTCCGGACGGTATTTGACCAAGTATGGTATTTGTCTAGGTTGGCCTTGCCTTGCCACTATCAAGAGAGGAGCTTCTTGTACCAGTTTAACTCTCCCGAGAAAACCTCTTATGGGACCCCTCAAACTTGGCGAAAGCAATGGCTCTAACCATTGTCGAAACTCACGCTCATCTGTGATGGAGTGTAGTTCACATCTGGCTAGCACATCCCGAATAACAAACCCGTCACCTGATACGACCTGTATAGTGAACGTTTGCTGCACTGTAGAGAATGCTCTACGCAAACCACGCAGAATGGTATCCAGATCTGCAGAGAAGTCACGAATCGACAGATCTAATACTGTCTGCATCAGACCACTTTCATCCACTATCGCATCTCTTTCTGGTGTCTGCATTCCATGACCATGAACTGCAGACTGGTCACAGGAGTCTTCATGCAGCACTAGATCAAGTCTTTGTCCATCGGCGTCTATCGGCAGAACTTCATCATCAATTGGCATTCCTCCTAATTGGAATTTGCACAAGACTCGACGACAATCCCTCTCAAGACGCAACCATCGAATCACACTCTGCTGCGTGACAGGAGAAGCAAACATTCCTGCCAGAAGAGTGTGCTTGTATGGCTCGATATGTGACCAATCCACACAAACCAGAATAGCAAAATGCCTTTCAACTGGCACAAAAAGGATCATGTGAACATCGTCTAGTCCGAGTTGTTGATGCGGGGCAGGCTGAGGTTCTACCCACCATAACTTGGCTACATCTGCAAGTGGGAAACTTTCTGCCACTCGCAGTCTAACCCAAGGCACTAGCTGTTCCTGATTCCAAGTATTGTCCCAGACGAGACCGGCTGACTGTGGTTGGTGTCCGTCAGTAGGAATGTGTACGTGCAAGAACGTGCTTCTATATCTACGTTGCAACAGAAATTGAACTTCATCTCTAAAGTGAGTCTGTGCATTGCAACTAGTTATTGCGGCCACTCTTCGCGTGAAAATTCTCCAATAGGCACGATTCCTCTCCGAAACCGGGACTTGTCGAGAATGCAGACGCCTTTCCTGAGAGTCTCTCCCATGGCGAATGAATCTTAAGAACCTGCGAGTCTCGAAGATGGCAGTGAATTGTTCAAGGAACAGGCTATGTATCGTGAGATCGATTTGAAAGAGGCTCTGTTCTTCAGTGCTCAGCTGACTGCCATTCTGCAACAGTGTCGTTCCAAGTGAAACAGCCTTGCGCTTCCTGGAAACACCGGCACAAGAAATAGCACGGCTCAACTTACAATAAGCACCTGCTCTTGCTTCTACAATGTCCTCCCAATCGAAAATCACAAAATCATTTCCGTTCCAACAGGCCATTTGGCAATGATGATTGCAGAAGGCATCGAACTCTGTACCTAAGAAAATGTCACGAACCTTTGAGTTTCTCTCAGCCCAGACTCCACATCGCACCGTGATGTGCGCCATGACGTCCACCAAGAAAGGTCTTGCATGAATCAAATCATCTTCTCTGGGAATGATGAGCAGTTCCGGACCTTCTTGCGTATCGGAATGCATCTGTGCCATAAAGACAGTGACGAAGCTATTATCTCCCCTTGGGAGCCATGCAGCCAGCAATGCATTCTGCCAATTGAGAGCTTTATAGCAACTGATTCTTCTTGGTGTCTTATTGATTCTGTGCCACCTAGAAACGAAATATGTGTCAAGCACCAAAGGATCCACCTCTGGTAGTCGTATAGCAGACTCGGTCAGGAATGCCCTCAGGAAGTCTCCGACCTCTGCTTCACGTCCTAAAACCACTGCTCCGTGCACTGCTGCAAGATGCGATTGGAAGTCTTGAGTTCCACTTTCGCTTTCTTGTAGAAGTGGACCGAGATCACTCGCCTCTGACCTTTCCATTAGCGACATGACCTCGTGTTCTGCTTCGTGGTGGACTGTATTATCCTTTTTCCTTGTAGGTTGGATGTCAGAAGACAAAGCAGAAGTCTCGGCATGGATCCTAGCTCTCACACCTACAAAATCCAAGCAAAGGAAGATCAAGACTATTGCTTTCATCTGCCTTCTATTGATTCTATGATACCTATGTGATCGAGGTGCAGTTGGCTTTTTGGCTACTCTAAACTGACACCAAGTTTCCCAACATGCATAAATTCCGGACCCGAATAAGGCAATTAGTTCAAGACAGCAGAAGAGCAGTGCTTGTGCGATAACCTCATCTGCAAAGTCGTCGACATGACACTGCTCCCACCTAGAATCATTGACCCTTGAATGCTTCTCGAACGAACTAATTACTGGCCTTTCAAGTCTGGCAAGACATTGGGAAAAATCGGAGGCATGGAGTAGCACAGAAAGCCTGGAAATGCTTCTTAGGCGTTCCCATCTTTGCACTTCTCCATTATCGATATCTCTGGCTGTTTGTAGAAAAGGGCGGCAAAATGAGCCTTCACTCCAGCAGTTATAACTATCCGTCCGAAGGCAAGCCTTCAAAAATGGCGCCAACGGACCATTCTGACAACAATCAGCTACATGAGAGCATCCCCATTCTTCATGGCTGAGTATCACTTGGCCTCTGCTGGATCTACATCTGCCTTTTCCCCTTTTTCCTTCTTCTCCACAGCCTGCTTCAAATGAGTCTGCCTGACTCCCTTGGGAGGCGATGCAGCACTTGTAGCTTTGCCCGGTCGAGGAATGGCTCTTCGAAATGCCCTCAGAGCAACTGCTGGTTCTGCAGTTTTGTCTGCAATCATCTCTTCCTCCATTTCTTCTTGCATTTCGTCGTCGTCTATGAGCTCCGATTCCTCGATCTTGCCAAGCATCTTCTGCATCTCCTCGAGAGTGGGAATTGCATCCCCCTCGTCTTCCACACTGATATTTGTCCTTAGTGCAGAAGCTACATGCTTCACCTGCGTCCTCAGCAAACTCAAATTCTCTGCTGCCTCGACAAGTGCAGCTTTGGCCTTCTCTCTGTCCCGTTGATAAACTGCCCATCGCTCTTGCATGCTGTTCTTCGCTTTTAATGCAAAGGCCTGCCAGTCTTTGTCGACTTTTTGCACTTCCTGTTTGCAGAGCTCCACCTGCTTTTGGGCCTTCCCAAGTTTGGAAAGATGCCCATGTGTCAGGCGAGGACTCGATTCTCCTCTCTGCTCCAGGGTTTGAATCTCCTTTGCCAAGCTCGAAGTTGCTGCAGTCCCATAGTAGCTTCTGATAGCTGCCAGGTGTTGCTGAATATCCACTGTGGCGGCATTGCTTTCTACCCCACCTGGAGGAGCAGGCGGTGGTGGTAGTCTCGGCGAGGGTGGCAATGCTGGCGTGGTCTGCGATCTCCCCTTGCTCTTGGCTTCCTTCCTGGGCGGAGGCGTAAAAGGATCTTGCTCTTTCCGCTTTTGAGACTTCGATCGATCTCGCTTCCAGTCTACTGCCGTATAGTGCTCTCCGCAGTAGAGACAATAGAGAGCTTTGGGGGCATTCTTCTGACCACACTGGCAAATCCACCTGAGAGGCATTGTGGATATTTGGCCTGGCAAGGAACTGCCGTGATGAGAGACAACTCGGATGGTCGCCTTTCTCAAGCGATGGGGTGGTATCTTGCTGCCTGAGATCCAGGCACGCAAGGTCCTTCTTGCAGCTTTCCTCTTTCTCCGCTTGTTGCGGTGCCACGTAGGTTCCCTGTAGGATTTCGTAGTCACCAAATCTCAAAGCAGAGCAAATGAGGGCAAAGATAAAGGCCACCACGACGGGTCGAACCGCCGCAACCATGAACGGTCACCGCGGCCCTGAGGCTACCGGCTAGAACTAACCTAACACCGGAGGGGACACTTCCGGTGAAAGGTCGGAGCCGAACCTTTTCTCCACCAAAGAAAAAAACCAAAGTATACGGGTTCTTGCTCTGTGCTGGGACTCTAAATTCACTGAGCTTGTAAGTTTAATAGCCGCGCCATGTGTGCAACGCCATTTGGCCAAGCAGCTGTAGTGTTAAGAGCCAATTGGCATTTGGTGAGCTTCTTGTCACCTTTGCAAAGCCTGGCCGCGGAAACAGTCGAGATATCCACAGCAGTTGAAAGGACCAGCAATTGCTGATTGCGAACCTCCACAGCTCAACCACCATTGAAACTCTGTGACAACTAACGCATCTTGTGCCTGAGCTAATCGATTTCTATATCAGAGAATGTCACCTGTGCCTTTGCTGTAAACAGGACAAACCGACGGCCGGTCACCTCTTTTCCCTGGTCATGATGGGCAACAGGCGATGTGGTAAGTCGGTGATGCTCTGCGCCACCAAATCCAGCTCCTTCTTCTGCCTTTCATCGACAAATCATCCGAAATGCTCGACTGGAAATATGATGCGGCAGAAAGCCCTGTCACAGCGAACATAGTACTGCTTTTCGCAATGGTGTCTGCACTCCTCCATCTTAAGGTTCAGTTCAGTGTGGTAAGACGACCACACTGAGAGGGAGCGAGCGGGAGCGAGTCTGCAAGACAGTGAAAGGAGAGCTGGTTTTGGCTAAGTACACTGTTTAGAACTCCAAGTGTTTCCAACCTTTGGAACTCAAATTGAAGAAAAACTGTTGCCGAGCGGCTCCACCGAACCTTGTCTCATCCTGGGGGCTGAACGGTGTGCAACGAGTTGGAACTATATCTTGGAGACAAATGGGTGGCGATGCACATAAAGGCCGAAAAAAATGAAGATACAATGATGGAAATGGGTCTTGGGGGGATGTTGTCGTTTTTCTGAGGTCCTTGCAAGTGGGGTCAAATGACCAAGGGGACATGCAAATGATCCAATGTTTGGGATTGCCCCGCAGGCGACTGGCTTTGGTTTTGGAAGTTCACAAATGGGATAGGCAGAAAGAGGCCGCGGCTGCGCGGCAAGGCGATGTCCTCATGGCTTCCTTCATGGCGAAATAGCGCTCCATCTCCTCGATGGCTTCCAGGTGCGATTCTGCCACCTCGACAGGAACAGGAAGGCCTTCGATAGGAAGGCCTTCGGTTTCAAGCTTTGTAAAGCTCCGAGCATCCGATCCACCCGATGCACCCAGTGCACCTGGCTGGCTGCGATATCGCAGGGTGACACCCCGCATGCCATCTTCGAGGCCGCCCTGGCAGCTGCGAGCCTCGCATCGGCATTGGTCACCTGCTCGTGCAGCGCTGTGCTCGTGACACTCGAGTGATGCATATTGTGCAGAATCACTAGTAGCGATGGCCTCCAACCTACTAACCATGGCCTCCACCTAACAGGGTCCTTGCTTCTGAAAGAGAAAAACGAATGATTGAACATTATAAAAGGAGAACTATACGAACGCTCGGCCATGCCTGGGCCTTCGCCTGCCCCAGGCTCATCTGCAGCGAGGCACTTTCGGCCGTAGCATTTGAGAGCATTTTCTGCGCGTTTTTCGGAACAAGGACGCTACTAGGAACAAGTGCATCGCTTCTAGTAACAAGTGCCTTACTAGTAGTAACAAGTGTCACGCTACTAGGAACAAGTCAGTCCAAACCGGAGCCGAGCGGACTCGAACGGCGCTCCCTAGCATCCTTGCTCTCGTAGCTTGTTACTAGTAGCGATGGCTTCCAACCTACCTCGAAGCATTATAAAGGCATATAAAGGCAACGTTTACGATGGACATGGGACCGCTTTGTTTCGACCACTGTGCGGACTCCTTGAGCTCCTGGGCTGCTTCTTGTACCGCCGGAGACCCCGGATACCTCGGACTTCACAGGAAACTAGCGGACAGCTGTTGTCATTCTTCTCTGCCAACAACACATGGTCTGGGACACAGTGTCCTCTCCCAGACTTTGAGGTGGGTTACTAATTGATTGAAACGTGTTCATTGAAATTCTAAAGTTGAAGGAGGAAGGAGAAAGGAGGAGGGTTCTAGTGGAGAAAGCCAGGCATGATGACAAATCTTGCGGGACTTAAAGCTGCACCACAAGTTGGCGTGGGAAATGAGAGAACTGGAGCAATCATGACCTGGCGAAGTCCTGGTGCGTGCTCAAGGGCTAGGCTTGCTCCTTCCATCCGTGTAAAAAAACTTGAAAGCAAAATTGGGTGAGGCTTTTGTAAGAACTGCGAAGAACGCGTTTTGCTGGTGACTACCATGAACCAGTAGCTAGCACGCCACCGTGTTCAAAGCTGGGAAGGCTTCACAATCTAAATCACTCGGTCTGCGGCAACCCGTTTCACTGTCGCCCAGTTTCCAAGTGACCCATCTGTGAAACGGAAGTCAATGTTGGGAGGGCCGATATCCAGCCAAAAGTGATAGTTTTGGAATGATCAGGGCAATAGAGTCATGTCATACATCCAACCTACGACTTTCGTTTGCAGCATAGGCCAATCCAAATTGTGAAGTTTGAGCAAAGTCAAATTCTATTTTTAGAATATGTTCAAACATGTCACCTGCCAAACCACCGCTGAAGCGCGTCTCCCCCCAGTTCCGTGCACTCCAAGCCACGTTTGACTAGTGACATTGACCACCTGCCGGTGCTGTCTTGATCCGGTTCACTTGGTGACCTCTGAGATGTTCTACCTCAACCAAATCTTCCAAGTCTTGTCTAGGTCACTTTGTATATAGAAACTAGACTGTTTTCAGGCGTCAAACTCCAGCACCGCAGGGTAGCAATGATAGAAAAACACACAATCAATAGACGTTTACCATGTTTAAGCGGAACATTTACCGACATTCATCTGCTATCCAATACTGCTATCCCACCAGGCAACCCAAAACCTCTGAAACCGTCGAAGGTTGCGGCTAGCCTTGTCCGAGGCTGCATCGATCTTGTTTGCGAGGGTGGTGACCTGTCGATCTAAAAAAATACGTCTCGACGGCCTCCAGATGCCTCCAGGCTCCCTCGACGCTTCGAGTCCCCAAAATTGACCAAACAGCCTCGACCACCTCAAACTTTTCCAAGAGCGAAAGCACAAACATAGTTCTTCTCCCGCTCCCCCCCCAATGGCTCTTTTGGGTTTCAAAGCGTTCTTGCATTGATGTGTTGCAACAGCTATGTCTTCATGGTGATGTGTTTGCTTCACCCTCAGAACTCCTGATCTGGCTGCAATGTGTTCAGATATCTTTGAGACTGCACCTTCGAGAGCTTCAACGCGATGACCTGATGAACAACGAGTTCCACAATCTGGAGGGATCAATCACAACGAATAATTGCAACAATGCAAAGAATCCTTGCTAAGTTGGAACATTCGTAACTAGAGCGGAAACCAAAAATGCCAGGGCGAACGCACCCTCCATGTCAGTTTTTCTTAGAAGGGTGTGTTGCAGGTAGATGTATATATTGATACTAAAAAGGATTGGAATTAAACAAATCCTTTCAATGATCTTTTTGGACCTGGATGTTCTTGTTGCATGCCCCGATTGGAGGATTAGCTGAAGCCTGGCGGGCTCTTGAGAAGAAAGTCTCAGGATTTCTATTGTGGAGAAACATCCTGGCATTGGCCCTCCTTCCGTTGAAGATCCAACGAAACAAACACTGCAATAAGTTTGGCGGAACCTTATCCAACTCGTCATCGTCGTCTTTTGGGATCATCGGTTGCGTCGCCATGGCAAGGTGGAACCACGCCAACCAAACCACGGCCACACCGGTGTTCAGCGTGGAGCGCATGGCAATGCCAGTGTTCAACGGAAGGTGCCCTTGGAGCCGAGAATAACTGAACAAAAGTGTCGAAACACATGAAATGAAAACAGTTAAAGCGTTGACATCATGGACGATGTTCACCTCACGTGCTTGGTCGTTAACATATTGCATTCTCTGCGCGATCAAGTCGAAGAACGCTGCGAATTCCAAACTACAAACACACACTCACTTGTGTCAGTGCGCGCCCACGGCCGGCGTGCCAGCGGAAGGCGGTCCGCACCAGGTTCTTGCCCGCTGTGGGGCTGGTCTTTCTACCCCATGTTGGAGCAGTCAAACAAAGGTAGTGGTCGAACCAGATCATTGCAGGTCCTGATAGGCCCAAAAATGAACATGAGAACGCGTCACAAACGTGCGAACTTGGGCCATGCAAAAATGCATGAAAGTCTTGACACCCCACCTAAAGTGTCGATGTGCAAATCGGCAGCTTTTCACCTCATGCACTGCGATCTCTTAGATAGCGCTCTGCGTGACCCTTCCAGTCACTTTCCCATTAGCTTGACATCACTGCCGCGCTAAACACGCCGTAGCCTGTTCTCTCTTCATGATTCCATCCCAGCATGTAGTCAAAGGCGATACGCGGGTGCATAGCATGTGGGTCGAAGTCAACCTTTGGTGATTTACTCCTTCAGCATTCTGTCAGTGAACATGCACGGCTGTTTCACCTTCTTTGCTCGTCGTTCTTCTTCTGGCTTTCAGGTACCGGAAAAAGACTTCCCAGTTGTCCCAGTCCATGTCAACCGGGGGCTCGTTTCTGTTGTAGTCTGCCCAGATACCACCATCACCAGGTTCACCTGAGTCTCCATCAACTTCCATACTCACTCCTTCTTCTTCGTCTCTTTAGGCCGTTGGCCTGTAGTGTCTGTGGTATTTATGTACTTGAACTCCCATCAAAAAGTCTTCTGCACTTTCTGCGTCTTCTTCACGTCTGAAGTCTCTCCTGCAAGCACTGACCGGATCCCAGTCTGTGATCAGAAACCCAAACGTCCTGGCCTGAGGTCTCGCCATCTGAAGTCCTTTCCCGTCCATCTTCTCGAAATTGTCCATCATCTTCTTCTCGATATTCCTCTGGAGGTTGTTCTCGATGTCCTTGTCCAGCTTGTAGTCTCAAAGGCTCC